TGATAAGAACATACTCAGTGTGATTTCACTTATTTTTAATGTGTTGAGGTTCACTTTATGATCCATAATGTGGCCTGTCTTGAAATATATTATGGGCACTTGAAGAGAGTGTTCTGCTATAGATGGGTGGTGTATCCTACAAACGCCTATTAGGGTTGATGATGCTGTTGAGTTTTGTATTCTTGCTAATTTTCTGTCCAGTCATTCTATCAGTTATTGAGAGAACTGTGTTAAAGTTTACAACTATAAGCATGAAATTGTCTTTCTTTCTCTTTTACCAGTTTTTTACTCTGCACATTTCACTGCTCTTTGGTTGCTGCATACACATTCAGTTTTGTTACAACTTCATGTTGGATTGTCTTTTTTATCATTTTATGATGTTCATCTCTTGTATTTTATTTCCTTTGGATTCTTTTTTATTTGACATAATTTATTTGATTTTTGTCTTTTGATTTATATTTGCATGATATATATCTTTTCTATCCTTTTATGTTCAACTTCTGTGTAGTGTGGTGTTTTGATTGAATTCCTGCCAGATAGAATACAATTGATCTTTTTTTAATCTACTGTGCTGATCTATGCCATATTATCAATGCATTCAGATAATTTATATTTAATTTAGTTATTGCTATGTTATGACTTAATTGTTCCATTTTTAGTCCTTATTATCTCTTTTTCTCTTTGTTTTTCATTTAGCCTATCCTCCTGTGCGTTACTTGAACAATTCTCAAAATTTCAGAATTTTTACTTGCCCCATATTTTAGAGTATTTATATGTGTAAGTTTTAGTGCTTGCTTTATATATTAGATTATATACACACATATATGTACACATGTATATGTCTGTATATATATAATATATATATGTCATCAGTGTCTACTAGTGTCTTTAATAATCAGTTCATGTGAACTGTAAACTTTATTTTATTTTGTTTTTTAAAAGATTTATTTTTATTTATTTATGCATATAAGAACATATAAGATTCACCAGAGACTGAGTGGGGAGCAGGATAGGCAGATCCACTGAAATATGCTACTGAGGCGAGCAGCAGGGGAGACAGAAGAGGTCTGTTGCAGTGACTGGGGAGAGCTTGATAGCACTGAGACTTTAACCCCTGCACCATGAGGGAGGCCCTGAACTGTAACCTTTGAATCCCTTTTTGTATTTTTATATTTAACAACCCATACTATAATTATCCTAAGTATTTCATTTACTATGCATTTGGTATTGAATTTTTGTTTTCAACATCAACCATAAATTAGAAAACTCCACAGAAGGAAAGGATATTATTTTTACTTGTGTATTTGTTACTGTATTCTTTCCTCCTTTCTAAAGTCCAAAGTTCTTCTAATATCATTTCCTTTCTCTTTAGTCAATTTCCTTAGCCATTCTTTAACAGCAGGTCCACTGTTGAAAAATTAACTTAGTGTTCCTTCATCTGATAATGTCTTGATTTTCTTTACATTCCTAAAAAAACATTTTCCATGGATATGGGATTTTGAGCTGACACTTCTTTTCTTTCAGTCATTAAAAATGTTGTGCCTTTTCCTTTTGGCCTCCATGATTGGTGATGAGAAAGTCATGTGTCAGAAATGCTTACTTGCTGTAGATAAGTTTATGTTTTCTCTTGCTGTCTTCAAGGTTTTTCCTTTGTCTTTAGTTTTAAGGAGTTTGACTACAATGTGTTTTGTTGTGGGTTTTCTTTGGGTTTTTCCTGCTTGTGGTTTGCTCAGCTTCTTGAATCTGTATGCATCTTGCTAAATTTGGGGAGTTCCCAGCCATTATTTCTTTGAGCATGAATAAAGCCTCACCCTATAATTCCTCTCTTCTGGGATTACAAATGTTTTGCCTTTTGTTATAGTTACAGTTACCTGAGTCTTTGTTACTTTGTTTTTAAGTAAATTTTTACAGTTTTGTTCAGATTGAATGATTTTATTATTTTAACTTTCAGTTCACTGATTTTTTTTTCCTTTGTCTCCTCTACGTTTTTATCTCAGTTACTGTGTTTTTCAGTTCTGAAATTTCTATCATAATTCTTTTATATATTCTCTTTCTTAGCTAAGATTTTTATTATTTTTTAATTTATATCAACTATGTTAATAGTTGTTGAAGCATTTTCATGATAGCTTCTTAAGTCTTTGTGAGATCATTCTCTGTTATCCTGGTATTCTCATGTGTTATTGTCTTTTTTCATTTAGTTTGAGACGTTCGTACTTCTTTATAAAACAAGAGATTTTCAATTGAACCCTGAACATTTTGGATATTATACTACGAGTCTGGATTTTATGTAATCCTTCGTTTTAACTAGCATTTCAGGATGTTGCTCCAGCAGAGAGTGAGGGATACTACCTTGTCACTGCCATGTGTGCTAGAAGTTCCCTTTGACCATCATTGACACCTCAATGGGAGGACCTCTTGTTACTGTTGCATGGGATTAAGTGTTCTTGTCCCCTCCCTGATGCCCTCCGGGCTAAGAGGGATGGGAGCTTGTTACTGCTCTCATCGTGGCCTCTGCTGGTACTTTATATATAGGTTTGGAGATAAATGGTGTTGGTATTAGTTCTGAGCAATTTCTGAAGTTTTGATTCATCACTAAGCCTCTTTCTAATGCCGCCTTAGCAGGAAGGATAGGGGAGCTCTAGTACTGCTGGGTTGAGGGTGGAAATTAGACTCTATAGTCTTCAAAGACTCTGCATTGGCATGACACTGTTGAAGAATTTGTTATACCTGAGATGGATAAAAGTTTCAGTTCCTTAAGCAAACGTCCCCATCGCACTCTGGGATGAGGGAGGGGAGGTAGGATATCATGTTACTACCTAGCAAAGGTTTGCACTAGGCTCTCCACTTGGTCCTTACCTTAGACTTATTTGTGCCTATGGACTGGAGCCAAGTGGTATAGTCCTAGTGCTTCCTGTTTTAGGCTGCATTTTTCCTGATCCTTTGGCTAGAGAGAACAGGCTTTCATTGCTTTTGGTTTGATTTTGGATTGGGGACTTCAGTGGACTTCTGTGGTTGCAGTTTTTCTTCAGCTCCAAGATTTGGATACAATGTAGGAGCCTCACAACTGTATGTTCCTTGGGTCCTGGGTTTTCCTTAATGGTCTCTCTCCTCTTCATCTTTCAGTCTCTATACTTACTTTGTAGTAATATCCAATAATTTCATTTGCACATAGCAAGAGGATTAGGAGAAAAATTCTGGAAGTGAACAAATCCTGTTTCTTTTTCTTTTCTAGAAGTGAGCTTCTCACCCTTGAAAGTTTTTACTGAATGACTCCCCATGGGCGCATTGACATCATTGCTGTTGTCCTGAGTCTATGAAAAAGATTGACCACATACTAACAATAACTATTTGCTGAATAAAGGAATGAGAACTGAGAATTTAAAGTTTCCTCTTCTTGCTGTGCTAAAGCATGGGGCATACTTGCCTGTTGTTATTGATCCTGATCCCCCCAACAGATAGTTGAAGCATGTACTCAGGACGTGAGCAAACTTTGTCCAGAATTTTGCTATCTAGCATATCAGTAAACTTTTGTTTTACAATTTAGAAATTTTTGAATTATGGCTTAAACATGGGGAGAACTGCAGAGTATTTCCCATGTACACATGTGCAGACATATTTTCTCCTGTATGTTCCAAAGAAAATGACCAGAAGAACAGGACAGAGAAAAGGTTATAGACCATTTTTAGCATATATTATATTTCTTATATCCTCAAACTTTTTTCCTGATTTTCTTTTATTCGTCAAGCTATAGTTCAATTATTGTTTTTGTTTTTAATTTTATTTATTTATTAAAGATTTATTTATTTATGCATACAAGAGCTGGGGATCAGGCCAGAGATGCAGGGGGTGAGAGGATTCACCAGAGACAGTGAGGAACAGAACAAGCAGGTTGACCAAAGTACACTGCTGAGGGGAGAAGCGGGGGAGTCAGGAGAGGTCTGCTGTGCCATGTGGGTTGCTCCCTGGCCAGCCAGGGATCGAACTCGTGCTGCAGAGGCTGTGGATTGCTTCATAGCGTGGTTCTTAACCCTGTGCGCCATCAGGGAGGCCCCTCAATTATTGTTTTAAATGCATTGGAATGAAATTGTATTGTGCAGTGTGTGTGTGTGTATATATGTGGAGGTGGGATAACATCAGTTCATACTTTCACAAAACTGACTACACCTTGAAATTTTTTCCAAGCATAATTATGCTTTAGATGAAGATTTCCCTAGAACGGAAACCTTTTTAATGCAGGTAGGAGAACATGACTCTTTTTAGTACTGCTGAGTATGTTTCGTTGAATACTTATAATGCTTGCTTTCCTGGTTGGTTTTAGATTCTGCTAAAAAGTGGTGAAAGATTTAATTCACTGTACTTTTGTTAGAAAGTAGGGAAATGTCTGTCCATGGGAACATTCGCTCTCGGCTAGAGTTGAAGGGAGGAGGAACCATTTAATTTTATTGCTTAAGATCTGTTGATATATTCTCTGCATCTTTCAAAGGCAAACTGTCACTAGTGAAGGAACAGAAAGAGCACTTCTTCTATGAGTCAGTCTCAGCAAATTTGCAGAGCAACTGTGCTAGCTAGGTGCTCATGAGGACTGCCACTGGACCCAATCGCAGGGTTTTGTGTGGTTGAAGAGACAACTGGCTCTCTCAGGGGGACATTTTGACAGAGATTGCAGCAGTAATACATCCCTACTCTTGCTAGTGGGTATCGTGGCCCATGAAATACAAAATTGGTGCCAGATAAAATCAGAAAGTAATAAAAACCAAGAAGAACATCCCAGATTTTAAATCTTCGTATGAGAAACTAACAAATGTCTCTGGGCTTGTTGCATTCGATCGTCAGGAAAAGGAGAGAAAAGGCTACCTCTAACTCAGAAAACTTTGGCATTCGGTCTTTTCATTTGATAACCATTTGGATGTGTTGTGAAATAAAGTTGCAGAGTAGGCATGTTCAGACTTTTATTTGCTACATTTAGTAGGAAAGATTTCCCCCACCCCAACCCCCCCAACTACAAGAAGCCAGAGTTTTCTGTGCAAACTGAAACAGGCGTTGCAAGAATCAGATTCACTTTGGACGACTCTTCACATTCCAAGTCATCATTGCATTAGGCAGCACAATCCCATCTCTGGTTGATGGGCAGAAAAAGTGGGCAGCTTGCCAGGTAGACGTTTCCATGACTCCCAGCCCCCAAAGGTGATGCGTTTTTCAGCTAATTCAATGAAGAGTGGGCTGAACTTTGGGTCTAAACGAGACAATAGCTGCCTTCCCAGTATCAGCAGAACGGTTGATGGGAATGCACTCTACATTTGGCAGAGAATCATGTGACCTGGCGACTGAGATTTTGTGATGGTGCCAACGGAGACTTGGAAAGCAGCAACGGTCCTGACTTTTTTCTTCTTTTCTAGCATGGCTCAGAAAATGGTGGATCTTAATACTTGACTTTAGCCAGACTCAGCAAGCGACTGAGCTTTGAAGCACAACTTCGCCTTTATTCTGGGTTTTTGGCAGGCCACCAGGAGGCTGTCCCTTTCACGCCTGATAAATTCTGCTGCTTATCTCTAAATAGGGAAAAAAAAGGAAAAATATAAACAGAATATTGAGGCATAACAAGTGAATTCTAAAATTGTCTGTGCTTTTTGTTTTTTTGCCTTTTCTTGCGGCTGTTTTTTGTTTTTTGTTTTTTAATGTTAATACCCTTTCTGCTTGCTGAAGAATCCAAGTAGGTTTTTTTTTTTTTTTTTTTCCTTTTGGTTTATAATGAACAGGCATTTGAACTGGGCATACAGGACGACAGCAGCAGTGAACATGAGATCACTGCAGCCATGTAGCAAACTGGCACCCTGCCTTCTCACCCTTTTGCTTCAGGAGACAAATGTGTGCAATCCTCATTTCTAAAGTCAGCACAGCCTGGAAGGATTCCTGGTCTCTCCCACCTTCTACCATTCTGCTGCCAGCAACGGCAAGGATTGGTGCAGCTTCTGCGCAGTGCTTTGTGCCTGGAATACGGAGAAGGAAGAAAATGAAGACAAGCACCCTGGTCCTTTTTTCCCAAGAAATAACAGGAGTCTTGAAGAAAAAAATCTGAGTTTGTGCTCCTCCAGGCAACAGTGCTGAAAAAAAAATGAGATGCTCCTGCTCAAAACCAAAAACAAACAAACAAAAATACAAACCAAAACAAACCAAAAAAAAAAAAAATGCAAACATTGGCTTGTATAACTACAGAGACATCGGGCTTTGCAAAGCAGCTTTGTTAGGCGACATATCCAAATGAGCCTTCTTTATTTTTGTTATTTCAAAAATGTGGCATAAGTAGCAATATTTTGCACTTGGTGAAATCGCACCTTTACATCAGGTATAACTTTTTTTGTTGTTTCTTTTTAAGTCTACTGTTATATAAAAGAGGAGCCTTGAACTTTCAAGTTACTCTTATTTAACTCATCACCCACTTTACTCTTATTAACTTTTTCTTTTTGCTCTCTTGTTCTAATTCTGAATAGAATAGAAGCTTAAGTAAAAATAGAAAAATCTGTATGAAAATATGGTACATGTTTTCGTTTTTTTTATACAGAGAAGTTGGGGAAAGTCATTAAAATGCTGTCTGTGCTTTTCATGTACAGTATTCGTTTGTGCTATCTAAGAAAAGTGAGCATTTAGCTCTTAGTTGGTAAAGAAAGTAAGTCTTTCATGTGCTGTGACATAATTTGAAATGTGAAAGAAGAAACTTTTTGAACTTCTTAAACAGAGTCATATTAGAATATGCATTAAACTTCTGATAAATAAAATTAGTTTGGGAAAAGTTGTATTTAAATTATTGACCAGGCTTACAGCCTAACAGAAATAAGAATGAAAAGATCATATTCTCAGTTGCTAAGTAGAAAAAAAACTGGTACTACAATAATACTCTCTTTCAAAATCTATTTTATGAAGAAACATTCATCTTGGAGCAGTTGTTAAGAGCGTTGGAATATCCATTAAGTATTTTAATGGAAAAAGTACATACAAACTTGTTTTAACTTTAAAGCAATGTATTGCCTGAGCAGAGAAATGCATTGCATTCTAATTATTTTGTGTGTTTGCAGAAGTAAATTGCTAAGCAATTTAAACATTTTATAACAAAACCCAGTTTTGCCTGGTTCAATGGGGAAAGGATCGCAGATGTATTCCACCTATTTTAATTTTGACTAAAACTGTTTCTAAGCCTAGCTAAGCATATTTAAAAATTGCTAAAAAGAGAAGTGCTTTTGAAAGACACATCATATATAAATGAAGGCTATAATTTGCATATTAAGGATTGATGCTATATTTTCCACCAAGAGAATAAACTTTAGACAAATGATTGTGCTTTTAAAATCATATTTTATTATACTGAAAACATGTAGGGTAAACAATGAGAAAATATACAAATGACGAAATCTGCTTTTTTATTATTCTTTGATGAATGATGGGAAATTACAAATACCCTATATACTGATAACATTCAAATAAAATGTTTTATTAAGTTTATTGGTTATTGTTCACTAATTATTTTAAAAATAGCTCTTTTTCCTTTATGCTGCCTCAGCTAATGGAACGTCAACTTTCACAAGCTTAATTAACATTTATAAACCTGTTTTCCTGTTTCAAGATCCTTTAGTTGAAAAACATTATTTTAAATGTTATTTTTAGGAGCCATTAATCTCTACACTCTTAATTATCTTATTAAGCTCCATGCCAAATCCAAATCTCTTTTCAGCTTTCACTACTTCATTGTGCAAAACCTAGTCGCTTCTTTAACAACCATGCTCCTTTCACTTTCAAAACTTACTGTGAAAACAACACCAACCAAAATGAACGCATAAATGCAAACTATGAAACCACATTATATGTCATATGAGTAGCCTTGGGTGGGGCTCTATGAGTCCTCCAAGCCTTAAAAAAAAAAAAAAAAAAAAAAACTTTAAAAGGTTTTGCCCATTTTGATATTGTGTTTTCTTCTCGATCGTCTACCTTCATTCTCACCATCCACCCAGATGCTTCTCCTAGACAGCAGTTGTCTGATATTTCTCCTTTTGTGGTTGTTTTAGGGAAAACTTAAAATGGATATGAGAAGTGAAGAAAGTGATCATAGGAGAAAATCATCTCAGGTAAAAATAAACAGCAAACAAGCAATTAATATTTTATATTTGAAAAGAAAAAGGCAAAATGATTTTGACTGTATTGAGTTAAAAAATTAGTTTCATCCTCTTTATGAATCTAGCTGATGGAATTTTCATGAATGGTTTGAAAATGAATATTACCTACCTTTGTGAAGAATTTTTGTCTGAATTTATCATCAATATACAGTTTGAGCTCCTTTGAAAATATAGCTATATATCCAAACATATAGCATAGGTGAAATATGGTTGAATAGAAAGTTATTTTGGGGAAAAAAAACAATTTTCTCATTTGCCGTGCCATGTTTAAAATAGTGAAATCTGGAGGGAGAGAATAACTTTGTGTTTTTTAAAAAAAATATGATCTAATAAAAGAATGAAGCCAAAAAATTTGTTCTTATAGTTATGATAAACCCAAAACAAATATTATCTTTTTATTTGACATCTAAATTTTATTCCACAACTATATATGCTTAAATATGTACTGAAATATTTTTATTACAACTGAATGCATGTTTATTGATTTTTTTACTATAATTTTTAATAATTTTGGAGAATAATTTGAAAACAGACAAGAGTTAAAAATTATGTAGGCCAAATTATCTCCATAAAATCTCTGAAACATTTTATGTATTTCAAGACATGCAAAAACACTAAATAAATTTGTGTAGTACCAATATTTTTTCCAAGAGAAGATATCATTTTAAAATACTAAATATCATGGATATCAGTGAAACGATTAGTGATTGTTTAACTTCTAATTTTGTTCTGGAGCTTAGAATCTTAAAATACCTGTTTGTGGCTAGCTTGATGTTTAGTCTTTGTATTTGCTTATTGTCTGGTGGTTTAAGTATTTTTTAATAACAATTTGTTTTCTAACGACCTGTTGACCAGATGAGACTTGTATATAGCCAATATTATGTTTTTATCTACATCTTTTTGAAAAAATAAATTTAAATATATTGTGTTTAAGAGATATGCTCTGTTATGTATTTTATGCAAGAGTATAAAAGCTGGCGCTCAGAAGTAGTAATAATGCTATTGTTAATAGTCATTAATTTTAGCTTTCTGATACTAATTTATCCAAATAATGTTAATTTCAGTTTTACTACAACTACAGATACATATGTATATATTTAAGACTTTTAAATAACTTCCTGTGTTCCCTCCCTGGTCAACGAGATTTTACTTGTTTTTGAGAAAGTTATGTTACCAGTTCCTTGAAACCACTAACTGAGCTTTATAAGATTTAAAACAAGCAAAGTCTAACTCTTATACAACTAGCTTAATAGTTAATTTAGTCATAATTATAGACTGGTTACATTCATGCCTCACAATTACATAATTCACTTGCACGTATGGATCCTATTTTTTTCTTTTAAAACTCATCGTTAATTAGAATAGTCTAATTCCAAAATTTCACTATTAAAAAGTAATCTGTGCAAAATCTTCAACATACTATTTTTAACATTCTTGTATATATAAACCTGTACTCAAGTTAGAATATTTATGAAGGCCTTTAGCTGGAAATATGCATACCTGGACCATTTCAATAATTCAAATATCCTACTAAAAGATTGATATTACTTTCATCTCCTAATTCATCAGATATTTACAAAAAAAAAAAAATTCTGCAATAATTGGGAGCCCATGTGAACTGATGTTGCCCATTGGCATAAACCCGTAGATCCGATCTTGTGGTGAAGTGGACCGCACAAGCTCGCTTCTATGGGTCTGTGTCAGTGTGGTAATCTGACAAAATGCACAATGCTGTTAAATAATATTGCAGTCAAATCCCTGTTAAATTCTAGTTGCTTACTTCTGAAATCATTCTATTTTCCCCTTGGTTTTCATGTGTATGTTGATCCTTATCTCTCTTACGAGGCAGGCTTCAATTGTTGACCACTTAGAAGGATTGATAGCACAGCCAATTCAAGCTTAAATCCAATACAGCAAATATGGAAACATGAACTTTTTATAGCAACGTTTGAACCAAAATCTGAATAGACCCTGTTCAGAAGCTTTAGTTCACCCTACAGGTTAGTGTCTGGTGAACTAACTTCAATAAGAAAATTAAAGGCCACATTTAGATTCATGTGTTACTATTAAGCCTATTTTTCTTGAAAAATGAAAATTAATGCTTTTAACTTTTAATATTATCAACTGCAAATAGAGCTATGCCAGGAGAGATGTCATAGGCCATTTTATTTGACCTATGCTAGAAATCTAACAAGTAAGGAGAGTATTAGTGACACCTATTAAGTTGATTGGTAAAATGTTAGAATATTATATCTACATCCCTGCCAAGTCCTTAGGTGTATGGCTGCCATATTTGGAGGAGCAGACTGAAGATATGATAAGGAGTTTGAAGCAACATTGGAAGCTGTGTGCATCCGGGTTGAGGTAGTAGGTTGTATGGTTTAGAGTTACACCCTGGGAGTTAACTGTACAACCTTCTAGCTTTCCTTGGAGCACACTTGAGCCATCGAGGAATTCTTCATCATTTTAAATATGATTGAGTCAATTTCTGTGCAAGAAAGTAATGTGTCATGAGTATTTTAGATAATTAATTTGTACCATTATTACATTAAAATGACCTTTTACCTCTAAACAGTAGATGACTCCATTTGAATCAACTTATAAACACTGGCAAGATGGTAGTTCTAATAGATGGTCATTACTCTATGATCAAATATTTTTAAGAACTGGTGATTAGTGAATTACACTGCACTAATACTGCAACTTTTTCATCTATAGGTTTACAAAATTTGGTATTTAATTTCTAAAATTGATCATTGTTTTTTCTATTTTTATTGGCAACCTAGACACTATAGTAAAAAGAATATTTGCTAATATCAGTTACTTTCATAATATATTATCTGAGTCTTTCTTATGACACATCACTTTCTCCCTTATTTTATGACTATCTGTGTGCTTGTTTATTTTTTCCATACTAGACTGTGAGCCCCTTGAGGGCAAAGTCCATGTTATTTTTCAATGTATTCCCTGGCTTACATATAAGTAGAACTAAATATCTATTGATTGAATGAATGGAGTATAAGTTCTAATTATGTGAAGAGAAAGTACAAAATATTTGAATGAATTACTTAGTGATCACAAATCTGAGTTTTGTTTTTTGGTTCTAAAATTTGCCTAAATTTAATTTCTAGACTGGTTTATATCAGTAATTGACTTGTTTCTGACTCTGTTGAATATGTCCACTCATCCTAGATATACAATTTAAAACTTAGGAATGATTTTTCTCTAGAATAAAAAAATAGAGAAAATTATTTTTTATTAATAAGTTCATTCTAATTTATAATCTGAAATTTAGGTTATGTATATATATATTTGAATTTTTAAATTCCTTTATTTCCAGATGAATGGTTTTTCTTTCAGCATCAATTTAAAAAATGTTTTATATTTTGTGTAATTCCCTTATTATCTACCCCTTATTTTTGTACAACCATATCTGTTTTATAAACCAGAAGCAACTATACAAGAAATATATGAATAATATGTATTTGTGGCATAATTTAAGAATTGGATCACATTTTTGTCAGAAAGAAAGACATCTATTTAACCATACATATGTAGAGATATGTAGTCTATACAAAGTGAATGGGTCTCTTTGGAATCCATTAGCATGCTATCAGTGAATAGTATAATTTATGGAGAGGTGAGTTTATATTATAGATCATCTTTTAGTCATAGAATCAATTGTGACATTAGAACTTTAAATTCCAAACTTGAAGCATTGAATGCATAAGGAAATATTTTAAATATAAATGTAAGATCCTGACTATATGGTAATAAGCTCACCTAGAACATTGTTGAATCCAGAATATCTCAGAATCTAGAACTTACCAACAATGGTAATAATGAAGGAAATTCTGAGCCACTAGCATAAAGAACGCATGAGCCTTAGAAAGCTAAATACCAAGGTTTTCAAGGAAAATCTGACTGCTACGGAAAACTTAAAAACTAGTGGTCTCTAGGATAAAGAAAACTCTCTTTAAGAACTAACCAAGAGATAATGAACAAGAGACAGGAGACATAGACAAGAGAGCAAGAATGAGAGACAGAGAAAGAAAAAAAGATGAAAATGAAAGTGACTCAGAGCTGAGAGACATACCATTGCGTCTAATGGTGGCAGTTCTACATAGAGATGGAGAAATGGTGGTAAAGGATTGTACCATTATAAATAGTTTAGCCTTTGAGAGAGTAGGATCCTGTGTAGATGAGGCAGGAGGTAGAATTCTTGTGCATATCCCAATACTCTGGCTATAGATTTGGAGACCGAGTTATGTATACATTGATAAACCAAGTAGAATATGGTTGTCAATAAAAAAGCTATTTCTATGCAGTGTGATAGAATTAATTATATCACAGAAGTGAACTATGATGTGCAATTTTGAAAGATAATCTTACAAAAATACTATGAAAAATACTATGATGAATGCATAGAATCATGAGCTCTGTTCAACTCTATCTAAAGTGAAGTGGTGTTATAGAAGAACAGTTGAAAAGTGACAACGTAGACCATGTAGTCATGATCTATTAAGTCAGTTGTGACAGAACATATAAGGGAAATCAGCCACTATAATTCTGAAAGGTAGAGGATGTAATTAGACTCAGTGAAAATTCTTTGTAGGGTGAGAACATTACATTGGAGAATTATGCTTTTACTTGTGATGAGCGCTAATTTTTGCTCTTCCAGCTATTGGGGTTATTTTCCTTTATATGTTTTTTTGAAAAATATGACAAACATGCTGGTAGGATTTAAAAAAAAAAAAAAACTCAGGACCACTGCTGTTGTGTTGACTCCTAGAAAAGATAAATTATGTATATAGCAAACCAGGAGGAAAACTTGTATATTAGGAGTTTAACATTCAGTGGGGAAACAGCTATCTGGATTGAATAATTCCCTTAGTAATTTTATATGGTCAAATTTTACTATGTATTAGGGTTTCCACATTTGGTCACAGAGGAAGTATGAAAATTCAGGAAACAATTACATATGACTGAGTCATATTTCACTTAACCAATATTTCTTTTGACATTTTAGGATACTAAATTGCATGTGTATATTTGTTCACAGTGACTGAGTTAACTTGTATGTTTTGTGGCATATGGTAGGAAAGAGTTAAGGTAGAAAGGAAGGAGGAAGGCAGAGAGGAAAGATAGGAGGGTTGAAGGAAAGGAAAACCAACAGCAAAGCAATTGATTTGCCCTTTCCAGAAAAGTCTAATTTTGCTCATAATGTTGCTTCATAATTATGAACTAAATTGGCCAAAGTGACTGTGAGGGAGTCAGATAAATTACTTGGCAATTGGACTGAGTCTTCTTGAAAACAATCCAGCAGTGCATGAACTATGTTATTAGAATAAATGAGTCATTTTCTGTAAATAATCATTTTTTTCTTATTCCCTATCATCAAACACTGACTCATGATCATAGGTGACTCCCCGAATGATGTGATATAGGATTTGGTCACTCTGGACATTATTTCTCACCCATCCCTCATTTCCCTTCCACAGACTGTAGGAAAAACTCTTCAAGTCACTGAACTTGACTTCACCCATGTCAAGCCCCTATAAGTGCCCTAGGGAATACCTCTTGAAAGATCATTAATGAAAGATCATTAGGTTCAGGCTTTAATCAACCAAAAGAGAATTCATCTCTTACTTAAAAATTCCTATTATCCATGACTACTTCCAAGCAATCCTGCTACCTGTTAATATCACATTCTTGAGCTCCATGTTAATGAATTAATTCACAAAGTCTTTACTCTTTCTTTAAAAGGGACTTCCTCCATTTTGAATCTTCATAGCTCTACAACTTTTATTCCCACAGTTTTTTTTTTCTGACTTCCTTTAATAGTAAGTCTAAGTATCCAAAGGTGTACAGGTATTAAATTAAAGCCTGTTGGATTGAATTAAACTTTAGATCGTTTATGGGAAATGGTGAGAACCTCTACACACTTTCATTTATGCTGCAGTTATAAAGTCCTGTGTTACCTGATAAATTTCTAGATTCCACAACCATATCATTATGGGATTAGGAGTTTTTGAGTTTTTTTTTTTAAAACACTGTCTAAAAGGTCTAAAGAGCAGTCTTGATTAAGTCTGTGATATACCATTTGAAGGTGTTTTATGAAACGAGCTAATCTCTTATTTATTATATATCTAAGCTCCTTATGTGCAAAATACCTGTTTTTTTTCCCTATAATAGTACTCTGTTTATAGCATAAATTCAAGAACTCCATGGAGAAAATATCTTAATGAAATAATAACATTAAGCAAACAATGGAGCAATTCTGTATTTAAGTGGAGTTCTTCAAACTTTCAAAGTTTAAGAGAAAATAGAAATATCACTCTTAACTTTGGGGAAGTCTATTTGATGGTGATTCTTGATGGTTTTAAGCTGTTATTGTCTTGAGTGTGGCTTCATTTTTAATCTACACTATGTGAAAGGTTAAATAAAATGTCCATGTTTTGCCCCTAAGTCTGTTCCCTCTTAAGGTCCAATTTTGTTTCTTTTCACTCTGAAATCTTGGAGCACTTATTTGATGCCAATGATATTCTGCCTTGTGTTTCACATATGGGTTTAGGTAATACCTTTTAAAGTTAGATTTTAAGCTATATGCACTTTTAGTGAGTAAGCAATTAAATAATACTCAATTGAAATTAAAATCTAGATTTATAAATGGTAAGTACTTTTGAGATCAATTGATCCATTTTCCAGATGACCAAACTGAGGTCCAAAGAGTTTAAATATTTTGCCAAAGTCAATCCACTTATGTATAGACACAGCCAAGATTTCTATCCATGGCAATGATCCTTTACAGAAGAAATATTTTATGTTTGCTATCAATAATCTTAGCTAAGTCATTAAGCAAAGTTTAATTAATTTATTGAACTGAGATAATGAGGTGTTGCTTGGCAGAATGAAAGTTACTATGAGCAAAGTTCAGCTTCAGAACTCAACTACCCATGTTCCCCACCCCATAGACTTGTAAAATATTATGTAAGTTGCCTTAGCAGAATTCATAAACTTCAATAATATCAGGGGCTAGACGGTGTAATAAGGTAGAGACAAAAGGAATAAATGAGGGCTATGGTAAACCAAAGTCATACTCACCTTCAAGATATTCTAAAAGGACTTTGTCAGTCAATCTAAATTTGGCCCCCAAATGCAGCCAGGCATTTTTATTAGTTATGAAGACTCTCCTAACCAAGCAAAATTGCCATAAATCTGATTTTTGATGAACCTACAACATCTTTTCTTACTGTTGAGCTACATAATTTGTAGTATATATGATACTTTCAAGTATATCTAGAGTATATAAAATAGAACACATACTTACATGCTGATGTTATTTCAGAAGAACATATCTGACCTATAATAATAATGTAAGTCTTTCATGACTTTAAATGACTAATAGAGAGAATCACTGGTCAAAAGCAACCACCAATTGAAATATTATTTTGATGCTATTTTAATGAAAGAAATATAGCAGTAGTAGTAATGGTAGTAGTTCTACTACTAGTATGTTGTTTTTAATTTTATTTATATTTAATGTCATTGTACAAAACAATGAAATTTGGACATATACTTCTTACATCTCAAGTTATTGAATCTATAGAAATATGAAGAGATAGCATTTTCAAGTCAAAACAATCAGAAGGTTAATAGAATGAACACAAAGTTTGAGTATTCTCATCTTCATATAAAGTCTTACTGTCAGGCAACTAAGTGCAGTTCAAAAGCAAAGTAACCAGGATTTTTTGTTGTTAATTATATTTTATTGTGTTATAATTAAAAGATGAGTTTTGCTTAAATCTGGAATTAGATCAGGTCCTGTCCATAATTTTTTCAATATAATTTAATCCAATGAACTTAAATTTGGCAAATGGAAATGTCAGAGCCAATTATGAAAACATTGAGTTTATAGTAATAAAGAAGACATGTGTTTCCAATTTTGCTGTGTGTAGTAGAAACCATTCTCTTTAATACAGTTGGGGTCAGTAGTTGGTTAGTCCACAAATATGTTTTTTTAATGGATATTAAAAATATTTTTAAATTTTATTTTTAATTTTAAAATTTGAGTATACATTTATTTTCCAGTATTTTTATAAACCAAGAACAATTTTTTTGAATTTGGGCTGCTGATTATAGATCTCAGTCATCTTTTCTTCCTGTAAATCCCATAATGCATCATTTAGGATTTCTAATTTTGATTACTTGATGTTTTTAAGGGCAAATGCAGTGCAAAGAAATCTGAGAGCAGAATCCTATTTTCTCTAAGATATTTTTCTAATTTTTTAAAGGTGTCTCACCTACATCTAACTCTATAGTATTTTTAGGTGGCTGGGTATTATTTTATCTTTCCACTATTTTCAGGTTAGAACATCTCTCACTCTTTTATACTCATATTTAAATTGGTTTATATAACATCTCATTAAATGATACATTTTTACATTAACCCAACTGGCATAAATTGTTTTGGGAGCAAGCATATCTGTCTTCTGGCAAGTATGCAAGTCACTTGGAAGGAAAAGAATTATTTGTTTATTTTAGAACTTTCTGAGATAATGAAAAAATTTTTGCACTGTTCAAATCACAGCTACTAGCTACATGTAGTTATTAAACATTTGATGTGGACAGTGTCAGTGAAGAACAAAATTTTAAATTTAGTTAATTTTATTTAATTAAAATTTAAGTATCTACATGTGGCTAATAGCTAGTGTACTGGACAGTGCAGTTCTGGACAGTAACTCACTTGATTTTAGTATTCTGGATGCATCTGTCAAAAATGTCAGTAATCTGTAAAGTGGTGA